GTTCAGGACCTGATCGAAGCGGCGTTCCGATTGCAGATTGCCATCGAGTCCGATCTAGGTTGTTCCATTTCTGTCAGCAAGGCGGCCGTGGTCGCCTCAGTCCCCCTAGTGGCTAAGGAGATCCGCCGAGGCCTCGGCGCTGTGGGCGGGGCTCCGCGCGTATCTGCTGTCAACCTGGGCATTGGCGACGCGGCAGGCAAGCCTAGGAGGATGGCCAGGAGAGGACCTAAGATTCAGATTCGGAAAAAAGGCCTTCAAAACCAAATGCCATCGTTTGAGGGTTCATAGGAATGCTTTGGGGAGACATGCCAAGCGTATATATACCAGTGGCCCCTTGGCCAGCAGGACCTATGGCTGTGAGGTGCACGGCACTTCCGACCATGAGTTGGCGAGTCTGCGGCGTTCTCTTGGACGGTTTCTCAGCCCCTCGGCTGGAGGCCGCTCGTTGACCGCAGCTTTGCTGTTCGCCGCCGACCCCACTTGGTATTGTGCCGTGGCCCCTATCGTGCGCTGGTCCAAAGAAATATGGGCCAGCCTCACGGCCTCCTTTGAGTTTGGCCTCAGCTTGGCTGAGCTTAGGGGGGCTTGGAATGTTGTGTTTGCGGGCCCCTCCCCCTCCTGGAGGCAGATTGGGGGCCCCGTGGGGGCCCTTAGGCTGTCGGTGGAGCGTCTCGGGTGGAGGACGCCCTCCTTTTCCACCTTGGTTGATGATTTGGGGGTGCAAGTTCAGCTAACGCTCGTTCCCCCCGCCCTTCTCAAACGCCTGCTGCGCCTCGCCGTTCTGAGATCTCATGAGCGTGCCTACGGCGACAGCCTTGGTCTTGAGCGCCGTGCTTGCTTAGACGTGCCGCTCCGAGCGATGGCTTCGTCTAAGTTCACGCCGTGGGAAAAAGGTTGTATCCGCGGGCTCGTCCGTCAGGCTCCGTGGACCAAGGTTAGAGCGGCAGAGCACGGCTACATTATGCCCGACCTGCTCTGCCCTCTGTGCGGCAAGGAGCAGGGCACGATTTTCCACGGGTTGTGGAAGTGCTGGCACGAGTCCTGCGCCGAGCTGCGACGGGAACTGTTAGGAGATGACTTTCAGCATCATCCACCAGCATGGTCATCCCTATCGAAGCATGATCAGGTTCTGTATACTACGGGGATTATGTCTCATCCTGGAGATTTCTTTCCAGCCCCTACTGTTGCGGAGCCTGCGGTATATCATGCCAGCGACCCCAGTCGCGATGATTATTTTGTTAAAGGTCATATATTCATGGACGGTTCGTGCATCAGGTCTGTCATCCGGGAGCTGCCGCGGACTGGGTGGTCGTACGTTTCGGTATCCGATTCTGGGCAAGAGTTGGGTCATGTGTACGCTCCCCGCCCCCTCCCCCTCCCACAAACGGCTCAGGCTGGCGAGTTCGCCGCGTGCACGGCGGCTTGCCAGAACGCCCTGGAACCTTCATGTGGGTATAGTGACTGTCAGAATGTTGTACAGCTTTGGTCCCTCCCCCGCTCTGAACAGTTGTCTTACAAACGGGTGCATGCTGGCATGTTTGTTTGGACGGCTGATTCAAAGACTGGCCAAATTTTTAAGGTCAAAGGTCACATGACCGAGGAGCAGGCCCAGGGGGACACTCATCTACGTTTTTGTAAGGCTGGGAATGACCTAGCCGATCACTACGCCAAGCTCGGGGCTTTAGCTCACGAGAAGCCGAGCCCCGAGCAATCTGTCTGGCTCGATCGAGCCCTCTCTGTTTCTAAGAAAGTGTGCGTGCTGGCTGCTAAGTTGCTCCCGCTCTGGCCCGCGTGTGATCTGTCTCAGGCCACACGCGAGCAGCGGGAGAGTGTCGTGCCTGCTCCCAAGAATCGCCACTCCTGGGTGCATAGGGACGGCTACTGGCAGTGCAAGCATTGTTTGCGGGCGACCAGGTCTTGTTGGCCCCCCAACAGTATCTGCCGTCGTGCCCACAAGCTCTATGACACCAAGCTCATAGAGCTTGGCCATAAGTGCATTGCTTTGTCTTGCTCCGACGGCAGCGCGTTGTGTATTTGCCTGAAGTGCAAGGCTTTTTCGACGGGGGGGTATGTGCGCTATCTCAACAAAGCTTGCAATGGTAAGCCGCACTGTCCCCGCTCGTCGGCCTCCTATTGGAACCGACTCCTCGCTGGCAAGCACCCGAAGAGCGATTCGATTTGGCTCGACGTGGATGCTCTCAGCGTGGTTCGGTTATTTGATTGACGCCCGACGGGCGAGTCTCCTGGCATCTGCCACGGGGGCAAGGCCCTGTCGTGTGGCCTGTTGCGGCAGGTCGGCCAGCGTGCACGGAACAATCCTGCGCTGGCAGCGTCTCAAGTGCCGAGCTCGTCGGCTGCCTGGCTGGCTGCCAGGAGGACCGCGACGACTCGCGGCAAAGTAGCGCAGCGGCAAACAAAAATCCTCCTCCTCCTCCTCCTCCTCCTCCTCCTCCTCCTCCTCCTCCTCCTCCTCCTCCTCCTCCTCCATGTCATCCCCCTCCTGCGCCTGGGCGGGCGGGCCTCGTCATCCCAGGCCCCCAGCCTCGGACACGCACGAAAACCATTGAGAACCTCGCAAAACCGCCTCCGCCTTCGCAGTCTCATCCGCTCCTCCTCCGCCCCCGCTTCCTCTTACCACTTCGACGGACCCGCGTCAGATCACTGGGCCGCGCACGCCTTCTAAGAAGGGCCATGAGAATTTGGCCCGAGTTCGCCAGGGCAAGCACCCCCGCCATCACGGGCCGTCTGTGGTTGCCATAGAGGCTGATCTCTCCAGGTCGGGGCCCGTCGGGGTTTTCAGCCCCCTGATGTGCTGTGGTTAGGGGTTCGGCGACGTCACCAGCATCTCTTATAGAATCCCATCGACTTCCTCCTCCTCCTCCTCCTCCTCTTCCTCCGTCCTCCACTCCACTGCAGCTCCTCCTCGCCCCCTCTCCACCCGTGTCTGCCTCCTCTAGCCGTCCTCCGCCTCCACGTCCTCCGCCAGCTGCGGTATTGGGATTCCACGAGATCCGACGCTGCAGAAAAATCGCGACATCGCGAACAACACGACAGGAGCTTCCCTCGACTCCGGATCTGTCGTTTTTTTTGGTTGGTTTCCTGAATTGTTCAAGCGTCGCAGAGACGCCTAAATAATACGATATATCCATCAAAGTAGGGCGGACATTGGTATCAACAGAGTTTTGAAAGTGGGCCAGAGACTTCTGACCTACAGTCGGAATCGAACAAAGTTTGGCGTATCCGGAGTCAGGGCAATTTTTCTGACCAGTTTCGGGCCGGATCGATCAGTGTGTGTCCTGGGGCCCGAAGCTGGGCGAAAACTCTTGGTGGGAAGAGATCGCGACGCCAGAATCTCAGGGTCCCGTAGATACGACGTCCTGTGTCGCCAGAGGTGTCCCAGAGGTCCCCAGAGGTTCCATGCGGTGTCCCCAGAGGTCCCGACCCCAGGGCCCGATTCTCGTCTTGAGTCGCTTCAACAGCCCTGGGACCCAGTGAGCGCCCCCAGAGGCCGAAAATTACGAAAAACTTGAGTCGTGACTTCTGTCAAGACGTTGGATGTCTGGCAGGAGGAGGGGGAAAAGGAGGAGGAGGAGGAGGAGGAGGAGGAGGAGGATGGGGGCCTTCCCCCCTCCTCCACAATTGTTCAATATGAAGACTACCCTCCCCTCTCGCCCGAAGATGGCCAGGGAGTGGCTCGCCCCCCTCCGCGTAGGTTGTTTCTCGAACACCTGACTCCACGACTTGATGTTTCCTCCACGTTTTCCAGTCGGACTGATTTCGGGCCTCAAAATATTGCTGCCCTCCTCCTCTTCCTCTTCCTCCCTCCTCCTCCTCCCTCTTCCTCCTCCTCCTCCTCCTCCTCCTCCTCCTCCTCCTCCTCCTCCTCCTCCTCCTCTTCCGGGGGGTGTTCGTGAAGGAATGTGGCCAGGAGGCTTAGACCCTGGAGGATTCCTTGCCTGATGAGGTCGGCGGCCAAGCCTCAGAAGGTGTCCCACCAGTCTTCGGACCCTGGATTCCTTACCCAACGGTTCCTTTCCGCCTTCCGCACCTTCCGACCAGCAGGTGATTGAGTTAAGGATATTCCCGAGGGGGAGAATTGCATAAACATCACAATGTTTCGGGGCTCCGCGCAAACTTCTTAGATCGGCGCTGGACCCCCCTGGCGGCGCCGTTGGCGCCTCCCCAGGCGCGCTCCGCGCGCCACGCAGGGGGTCCAGCGTCGATCCAAGAAACCTGCACGGAGCTCCGAAAGTTTCTGTTTCTGCATTTCTGTGCCCCCGAGTGAATCACTATATCAGCCTGATGGTCGGAAAGTGTGGAATGTGTATGAAGGTGGAGAGTCACAGAGAGTGGCGAGGCGGCGCCGCCACCGCCGTCGTCGCTGTTGTCGGCGTCGGCGTCGTCGTCGTCGGCGCCGTCGTCGTCGCCGCCGTCGTCGTCGTCGTCGTCGTCGCCGGCGTCGTCGGCGTCGTCTCCGGGGCTTGCGGCGACGGCGTGCGGGCGTCGTCCGTTCCGCGCCGTCCGAGGATCGGCGGCGAACGAGGTGGGGTAATCAGAAGGAGAAGGCCTTCTCAGAAGGCGGCGGGGCTTCCGAGAAGCCCTCGCGCCTTCGGAGAGCTTCTCTGCGCATTCGGGGGCGGCTCTGAAGGAACTTCTCAGGAGGCCCGAGGACTTCCGAGCCTCCTGAGAAGGCCCGCCCGTTCGTGTGTTTTTTCCCGTTCGTGTGTTTGTGTGTTTTTTGTGTGTTGTTTGTGTGTGTGTGTTTTTTCGTGTGTTTGGTGTTTTTTTTGTGTGTGTGTGTGTCTGTGTGTGTTGTGTGTTTGTGTGTGTTTTTTTGTGTGGTGTGTTGTGTGTGTGTGTGTGTGTGTATGTGTGTGTGTGTGTGTGTTGTGTGTTGTGTGTGTTGTGTGTGTATGTGTGTGTGTTCCCACGTGTGTGTTTTTCCCCACAGTGTGTGTTTCGTGTGTGTTTTATACTTCCCCCCCGCGCTCGCCGCCAAGAGGAGGCCGGGAGAGCAGCTCGCCGACCCCTCCGCGCGCGGCGCCGCCCCCTTGGCGGGCGCCCGGGCGGCGGCCGCGCGGGGCGTCGCCCGCGGGGAGCCGCCGCCGGCCGCCGGCGAGGTGGCGAGGTGGCGCGCCCGCCGGGCGAGCAAGGATGCGAGGGGCCTCGATGCTCGTCCTCCGCCTCCTCCCTCCTCCTCCGCCTCCTCCGCCTCCTTCCTCCTCCCTCCTCCTCCCTCCTCCTCCTCCTCCCCTCCTCCTCCTCCTCCTCCTCCTCCTCCTCCTGCCTCCTCCTCCTCCTCCTCCTCCTCCTCCTCCTCCTCCTCCGCCTCTCCTCCTCCTCCTCCTCCTCCTCCTCCTAGCCTCCCCTCCCTCCCTCCTCCTCCTCCCTCCTCGATTCGAGGGGCCTCGATGCTCGGGGGACGAAAAAGCGTATGTCGCAAGTCGAAGAATGAAGAAAACACGCCATAAACATATAATGTTGGCGGTCCGCGTGGATTTCTTGGATCTGCGCTGGGACCCCCTCGGCGGCGCCCCTGGCGCCGCCCCTGGCGCGCTCCGCGCGCCAGGCGCCAGGGAGGGGGATCCAAGAAATCCGCGCCTCCTCCTCCTCCTCCTCCTCCTCCTCCTCCTCCTCCTCCTCCTCCTCCTCCTCTTCACCCGCCTCCTCCTCCTCCTCCGCCTCCTCCTCCGCCTCCTCCTCCTCCTCCTCCGTCTTGGAGTCTCGAGCTCCCTTCCCCAGAAGCCCGGGGCGCAGTGGATCTGGGCAAAGATCTCTGGCCCCTTTGGGGGGGCTGGAGTTGTACCCACGTCCACTTCGCCTCGGCCTCGGGGCGCCCCTTCCCACAGACTCCGAGGCGCAGCGGATATTGCCTCCCCCCCCCCTTGCGTTGTTGGAAAAAACACGATTCTGATGTTTGCTGATAGTTTCGGCCTCTGGGGGCCCTTGCCGGGCCGCAGGACCGTCGAACGATGACTCAGAATGAAAAACCGGTCCCGGGGGAGGGGTCCAGACCTCTGGGGGTCGACGCTGTGACAAACGCATGACGTCGGGGGTCTAGGCTCGGGGAACAAGAAGCGTATGACATAGGGCGCTCGAGGGGCCTCGATGCTCGATGATCCTCGCCTCGGTGCTCGGGGAACAAGCTCAGCCATGCGCAGAGGGGGACAGGAGGAGGGGGGGAAGGCTTCTCGGAAGCACCCCTGCTTCTTAGACTCTTAGACGGTGTGGGCTTTGCCTTCCCCCCCTGTGCGTGCCGCCAACAGTTCATGCCATATACATACAAAACTCGACAGTCCGCGCGGACCGCTGAGTTTTTCCCCATTCAGAGCTTGCCTCTGTATGGGGTCCTATCGGATGACAGCAAGCGCCTCTGGCGTGGACCGTTTTTCTGAAACTGTTTTTCTCTACTTATGGGGTCCGCGCCGCACCCCGAACCTCGTTGGCGGATGACGGGGAACGCCATTGGAAGGCCCTGGTTCGAGCGATTATGGCGTCGTTTCTCGTGCCTGCGGGGTCGCAAGCCCCCGCACAACATGATCATCAGTCCATGGCGGGACTTGCCATGTTTCGTTTCTCTTCTGCGCGCCATCGCTACCCGAAGTTCGCTACGCTGGAGGGTCGAGCGTTCGGTGGCGGGGCGACCACCGTGGAGCTCCGTGTCGCATGATGACTACTATAACGGGAGCGAGCCAGTGCACAGCATAGGGAGCTATCACCGCGCCCACCGTGCTATGCTCGCCAGAGGGCGGGTGTGGCCTGAGGTCGACCTTCATGAAGGCCAGGACGTTGCGGCACGCTCAAGCTACAGTATGTGGCCACCTCAGACCGCGACACAACCTACTCGCCTGAAGCTCGGATCAGGGATCGCCCCGACTACATCATCACGCCTTCCCCATGGCATGAGTCCACGCGGGCTGCTTCACGGGATGGTATCACATGTACACAATGGTGGCAGCTGGGACAACTGGTGGGCATACGTATGCAGCGCAAGCCACACATCGACTTCTACGCCCTCTGCGGGTACGCCCCCGCCGACAAGCCCCAAGCACAACCTTTTCACGGCGGCTGCCCACGCAGTATGCCGATGCGGCAAGGAGGAGTTCTTCGACAATGTGAATCGAGCCTTGGGTTGTATTCCCCCCCTCGATGTGCACCGTCACTACATGAAGTGGGACATGCCAGCTCGCGGAGCAAGTGCCGACCGCAGTGGACCGACAAGGGGCGGCGCCTGCATGGCATCCTCTCCCAGTATTGTATGCGAGCTCTCAACACCTTTGGGCCAACATCATGACGCAGCACTACATGGAGGTACCCCGATGGCCAGGGTGAGACAAGGATCGACCACATCGCTACCCCGCGCAGCACGGGCTCCCAGGATTCAGCAAGGGTCATCCGTGAGACCCCGCTGGCCCTGGGCTCCTCTCGGGACCATATGATCGTCGGGGCTTCTCTACATGCGGGCCGACACTACACTGAGCGACCCCCCAAGACACCGACGCCGACGTGGCGCCGACAACACAGACTGAGCTCTCTGCAGGCTTGGCAGCGCTTGTCCACGGTAGAGGCGGAGGCTTCAGGCAGCGGCGGCCCAGTGACCACCGCCATCAGCGACGCCCTGCGCTTCCAGGACCACGTGCGCCACACCATCGCCTCCATGGATCACCTACAGTTTTTGCTGGGCGCCTATGACGCCACCGCGGAGAAGGACGTGGCCGAGAGCATCTTGCTGCAGGTCCCTGAGCTCGAGAGCAAGGCTAAGATGAAGCTGAGCATGGGCCGCGCGGTGGAGTCCCACGACTCCGAGGGCAAGACCGCCGCGGCGGCGGCCGCGCAGGCGGACGAGGTGCACAAGGGGCACCCACAGGGCAAACGCCCCGACGCCCTGTCCCGAGCGGCTCTGCACCACCTACAGCTGGCACTTCGAGAGCACGGAGCCGCCCTCGATGAGGACGTGACCGAGAGCGACCAGCGGCAGGTCCTGATGGCCTCGAAGGGGGCGCCCGCTGCCAGCGAGAAGGCCCCTTCAGAGGAACTCGTTCCAGGCATCGCGTTGCTGGGCCGGAGCGACTGACCGTCACCGCGTGCTGATCGCATCCATCCCACAACCCCGTGGGGCGTTGAAGTGGCAGGGGCTTGCGGGACTTATGATCGACGACGACAATGCTCCTCGCACCACGCCGTGGGCTCAAGGAAGTGAAGTAGCATATTGGGACGTTGGGTCTACTTTAGGTGAGTCCACCAGGTTGCATGCACCAGTGCTCACTTTTTCAGTAAGGCCTGCTGCAGGCGCTTGGTTTCTTTTTGTTATTTATCCAACGCTTGCTGTATTATGTTTTTCTGCACATGATATGTTGCGCCGTTTGTTCGCCACTGCTCGCCGCCAGCCCGTGGCCAGAGGGCCGCGTGCTGATGTGCGGGCGTCCCACAAGTGGGTGGTAAGCTGCGTATGTTGCGTCCGTGGACGCGCGCACGCGCGGGCCGACCTTGCGGTTGGCTCTGTGAATGCTCGCGAGACCTCAGTGTTGGGGTTGCGTCTTCAGAAAAAGCGCCCTTGGCGTGGACCGTTTGTTGGTGGTAGAAAATAATGACGGGGCACGGGGCGCACTTTGGAACCACGCTGGCGGATTTTTGAAAGATGGCCGTTTCGCTCAAGACACCCTCCATACATCGGCCCAAGAGGGGACTCCGAATCGACATCGTGCTCGAATCGCTCTTAGAGGGCTTTCCAACGGCCCAAGGGAGGCCCAAAAGACGCCCCAGAAAGCCCCAGGAGCGCCCAAGAGCGCCCCAAGAAGACTCCAAGAGACCCCCAACAGCGCTCTAGGAGCCACCCAGAAAGTTCACGACAACCCCAAGACGACCCGAGAAGGGCCACGAAGGCCCCAAGAGACTCCCGGGAGCGCCCCAGGAGGCCCCCAAACGGCCCAAGAAAACCACAAGACGGCCCAATATGGCGCCGAGATGACGTGAGAAAGCTCCCGCAGCACCCCACGATGCGCCCAGACAGCCCAAGAAGACCCCATAAACCCATAGGTGGACCCAAAGGGCCCCCAAGAAACCCCCAACAGGCCCCAAGACAACCCCGCGCGGCGCCAGGAGCAACGTCTTTCTCCAGTTGCCTCTTACTGTCCTCTGTCGTCGTCGTCGTCGTCGTCGTCGTCGTCGTCGTCGTCATCGCCCTCCGCATTCCTCCTCGTGCTCGTCCTCGTCTTCGTGCTTCTGTTCCTCCTCGTAGTCCTCATGCTCCTCCTCGCTACCCTCACGTTCGCCACGTCGTCCTCGTCCTCGACTCCTCGTTGCCCTCGCCTTCATTTTCTTCTTCGCCCGAAGCACCCATTAGACTAAAGCGGCGCTTCACGTTCTTGTCTGATCTGGTTCCGGACAAATGGCCGTTTCGTTCGAGACATCCTCAAACAATCGGTTCCGGAGGGGGCTCCGAAACCATATCATCTTGGAATCGCTCCTGGAGGACTCCAAAACGGCCCCAGAGAGCCCCCGAAGGCCCCCCTGAGGACACCCAAAGCACCCCAAGAGACCCCCAAGAGGCCCCAAAGAGGCGCCCAGAGGCCTCCAAGAGCGCCCGAAGAGGCCTTGGGAGTGCCCAGGAGAGCTTCAAAACGTCCAAGAGAACGCCAAGGCAGCCCGAGAGAGCCCCCACAGACTCTCGAGACGCGCCCGGACAGTCCAAGAGGGTCACAGAAGCCCCCAAAAGGCTCACATCGGGCTCCCAACAGGCTTTCACAAGGTTCCTCAGAGGGCCCCAGAGAGCCCCAAGAGACCCAGATGGCCCGCGAAGTCCATCATGTGCCCAGGGCGGCAGATTAGCTCCACAGACCAGTACGGCAGACTAGGGCAGCAGGCCATCCCAATGAACCGGTAGCATGTGTCTTAATTTGTTGTGGTGCGTTTCTAGGTTTCGTTGACGTTCTCCACCATTTTTTCTCTGACACGCTTGGTGGACAAGAACGGCGCTTTCTGTTTTTGTCTGGTCAGGTTCATATGGTTAGGTGAGGTTTGCCACCGATTTGCGCGGCCCGTCCCGGTGCCTGGGTGACCAGGTGCCTGGGTACTTGGGTGCCCAGGTGCCTTATAGCCCTATATCCCTATAGCCCTACAACCCTATAGCCTTGCAGCCCTATAGCCCCACAGC